TACATACATACATATGTATAAACAGTATACTGTATGTACATATAGTGTGTGCAATCCCTCAGGTGTCCTTTAGGGGGCAGCAGCGCAACATCCCAGTTGAGGAAGAGCCACACATTAAAACAGTAAAGAAGAATGTTTTTCCTGTCTGTGGATGTAGTTGTTGTTAAATGAAACTGAAGTCCTGTGGGTTCGAAGGCGGTGGACGCGGCACAGAGCTCGCAGGAATGTAAGCTCCAGGTTCGGGTCCCGGTCTTGTCCGCAGTGGAAATGGACGAGCGAAGGTCAGCATCAGTTCCGTCATGACATCGGGGTCGTGAGTAGAAATGCAGTCAGAAACTCAGTTGGATGTTCTGCTTGAAATCTCGCTATAACCAGTCACACCCATTACAAAAACACAGCAGGTGAATGAAGCGCGCACTATGAACACTCCAGTGTAATGTTCGCGTTTAAATACGGTTTAAACACAAACGGAGTGTTTTTTAGTCACTCCACGCTCCGTTTGCTGGAAAAGATTAAATAAAATCACTCACAAGTTCAATCAATCAGTTCAGAGGCAGGACAGACACAGTAAATGAGTTTAAACCACAGCTTCGAGCAGAGATTTCTCAACTCACGAGTGTTGAAATTATGAGGAAGTCAAAGTGGAGCGTTTAAACATTCATGCTAAGGAACAGTGTTAATATTATATTAAACTTAAGCTCCTTCAAATCATAGAAAAACTAAATAATAATAAAAAAAGATTTTGTAGTTATCAAACATGAAGTGTTTACAATAAAATATGGTTTGTAATGGTTACATTTTCCCAGTGGTGGGTGCAGTTCCCCTAAAGCACTAATAGGGGGGCTAATTTCCTGATTAGTGATTCAGGGCTTTTGCTAATTTAAAAAAATGGATTAATTAAATTTTAAAAAGTGGATTAGCACTTGCTAAATTTAGAAGCACTAACTGAGGTCTATAAATGTTATTGATCAATGTTAATGTTAACAACTAAAAGTGAAAGCTGTCACACATTTTGTTCATATATGTGTCAATTATCCACTTTGTGACCATATATGAACCCAAATACAGCTGAGGAATATCAATGATAAGTCTGAAGAGAGCAAAATGGCAATATGTGACTCATGTTGAAGAATGTTTCATGGGTTGACTGGGTTATTTTAGTGCTTTAGAATTAGCTTTTGCTAAAACTTTCAGTGCATTTAGAAATAGTGGACCTAAATATTTGAGTTAGTGTTTTAGGGCTAGTAGAACTAATCTTTAGTGCTGCCCACCACTGCATTTTCCTGAAACAAGCCTTTACATGTTGCAACAAGTATAAAAAACTAAATAATAGGGCTGTGTATTGGCAAGAATTTGGTGATACGATACATATCATGACAAAGGGGTCACGATACGATATATCCCGATATATTGCGATACTGTAAGCAAGGCGATATATTGTGATTTTTTGGTCCAAAAAACTCTGTTAAATATAAACCTCTTATTGGGGAAAAAAAAAGAAAAACCAAAATTC